ATTTAACTGACAAGGAACAATCTGAATTTAAAGATTTCTCCCATTGGGAGAGGGGCAGCGGGACATCTCTCCCCACATCCTCCGCCCTGTCCATGTCTCACTGCGCTCCCCACCTGCGCTCCCGAGGTCTCTCAGAGCAGCTCACACACTGTACCACCCTCTTCACTCTTCCTGCTACTTCACAAACATGTATGAAGGTGAAATCAATAACATGCATGAATATTTTTAAAAACTAGAAATAAAGCACGAGAGTTCAGGGTGTAGATAATGATTGGGGTTAATTATCATTAATCATTCGAAAACAGCAAGAAAAAGAGAGATAGCATGGCTAAAAATAAGAACCTGGAAAAGACTGCTGATGTAGAGGTCAATTTGAGAATAAAGTTGAACATGATTTTGGAAGCCTGGTCATAAATAAATCAGGTTGGTATTAAAAGCATTGTATTTTAGGTCAGTCCAAGTAGATAGGCGTTTTTTGACTTCCTCAGAAAATACAAACTTTAGTAAAAAATAGTGGATATCTTTTCCCAAAAAAATGCTTTTCTCCCTTCAAATAAATATGTAAGAAATTTCAGCTGATGAGTGTTAACACACTGTTGAGACAGCTATCAAGGCAATAGCTGACAGCTCATTAGTGGTAATATTCTGATATTCACCCAACAAACAGCCCTCACATGCTTGCAATGCTCACTTTGCTGCAGTCAGCACTTTGGAGGATTAAATAAGAATAAAACTATCACTACCACTTATAAATGTAACTTTCCCTTGTAAGGAAGGATTTGATGTTTAGGTGATGCGGTGTACAAATTGATGGCTGCTATTTTGAGGGCTGAGGGAGACCTTATCATGTCTAGAACTTGAAACTGAGGCAGCCAATGAATCAGTGTTCGTTATTGCTCTAAATCCCCATTTTCTCATTCTGAAATATTAAAACAGGGAAGCAGGGATCATTACAAACAGCAATTTGCTTATTTAATGTGATTTGGTGCACCAGGAGAGTGTCTTGGAGCAATAAACCCTCTTGCTTGTTTGCTATTCCCTAAAACATGCAGGCACAGGACTCCTTGGCTGACCTCTTTCAAAATGATGGAGGTAGGCAGGAAGGACATGGAGCTCTGCCCCATGTCAAGCGGCAGCAGGATGGGAGGGGAGTTTGGGGGAGAAGGGATCCATGTGTATGTACGGCTGAGTCCCTTCATGTTCACCTGAAACTATCACAACACTGTTAATTGGCTGTGTGTGTCTGTGCGTGTGTGTCTGTGTGTCTCTGCGTGTGTGTCTGTGTGTCTGTGTGTGTGTCTGTGTGTCTGTGTGTGTGTGTGTGTCTGTGTCTGTGTCTGTGTGTCTGTGTCTGTGTGTCTGTGTGTCTGTGTGTGCGTGTCTGTGTGTGTCTGTGTGTGTCTGTGTGTCTCTGTGTGTGTCTGTATGTCTCTGTGTGTGTCTGTGTGTCTCTGTGTGTGTCTGTGTGTCTCTGTGTGTGTCTGTGTGTCTGTGTCTGTGTGTCTGTGTGTGTCTGTGTGTGTGTCTGTGTCTGTGTGTGTCTGTGTGTGTGTCTGTATCTGTGTGTGTGTGTCTGTATCTGTGTGTGTGTGTCTGTGTCTGTGTGTCTGTCTGTGTCTGTCTGTGTCTGTGTGTCTGTGTGTCTGTGTGTGTCTGTATGTGTGTCTGTGTCTGTGTGTGTCTATGTGTGTGTGTGTGTCTGTGTGTGTGTCTGTGTCTGTGTGTCTGTGTGTGTCTGTCTGTGTCTGTGTGTCTGTGTGTCTCTGTGTGTGTCTGTATGTCTCTGTGTGTGTCTGTGTGTGTCTGTGTGTGTCTGTGTGTCTGTGTGTGTCTGTGTCTGTGTGTGTCTGTGTGTGTGTCTGTATCTGTGTGTGTGTGTCTGTCTGTGTCTGTATGTCTCTGTGTGTGTCTGTGTGTCTGTGTCTGTGTGTCTGTGTGTCTGTGAGTGTCTGTGTGTGTGTCTGTGTGTCTGTGTGTGTCTGTGTGTCTGTGTGTCTGTGTGTGTGTCTGTGTGTCTCTGTGTGTATCTGTGTGTCTGTGTCTGTGTGTCTGTGTGTCTGTGAGTGTCTGTGTGTCTGTCTGTGTGTGTCTGTGTGTCTCTGTGTGTGTCTGTGTGTCTGTGTCTGTGTGTCTGTGTGTCTGTGAGTGTCTGTGTGTCTGTCTGTGTGTGTCTGTGTGTCTCTGTGTGTGTCTGTGTGTCTGTGTCTGTGTGTCTGTGTGTGTCTGTGTGTGTCTGTGTCTGTGTCTGTATCTGTGTGTGTGTGTCTGTGTCTGTGTGTCTGTGTGTCTGTGTCTGTGTGTCTGTGTGTCTGTGAGTGTCTGTGTGTCTGTCTGTGTGTGTCTGTGTGTCTCTGTGTGTGTCTGTGTGTCTGTGTCTGTGTGTCTGTGTGTGTCTGTGTGTGTGTCTGTGTCTTTGTGTGTCTGTGTGTGTGTCTGTATCTGTGTGTGTGTGTCTGTATCTGTGTGTGTGTGTCTGTGTCTGTGTGTCTGTCTGTGTCTGTCTGTGTCTGTGTGTCTGTGTGTCTGTGTCTGTGTGTGTCTATGTGTGTGTGTGTCTGTGTGTGTGTCTGTGTCTGTGTGTCTGTGTGTGTCTGTCTGTGTCTGTGTGTCTGTGTGTCTGTGTGTGTGTCTGTGTGTGTGTCTATGTGTGTGTGTGTGTGTCTGTGTGTGTCTGTCTGTGTGTCTGTGTGTGTGTATCTGTGTGTGTCTGTGTGTTTCTGCGTGTGTGTGTCTGTGTGTGTCTGTGTGTATATGTGCATGTGTCTGTGTGTGTGTGTGTCTGTGTGTGTCTGTGTCTGTGTGTCTGTATATGTGTCCATGTGTCTCTGTCTGTGTGTGTCTGTGTGTGCCCATGTGCGCATACTTGGTCATGTCAGGCTCTTTGCAACCCCATGGATGGTAGCCCGTCAGGCTTCTCTGTCCATGGGATTATCCAGGCAAGAATACTGGACTGGGTATATCCCAATACAAAATAAAAAGTTTTTTAAACAACCGACAGAGGGAGACCTTCCTTGGTGGTTCTAAGGTTCATGCTCCCAGTGCAGGGGCCCAGGTTTGATTCCTGATCAGGGAACTAGACGGGCTTCCCAGGAGCTGCAATGGTAAAGAATCCACCTGCCAAGGCAGGAGACGAAAGAAATGTGGGTTTGATGCCTGGGTTGTGAAGATCCCCTGGAGTAGGAAATGACAACCTACTCTAGTCAAAATCCCATGGACAGAGGAGCCTGGTGGGCTACCGTTCCTGGGGGTGCAAAAAGTCAGAGCTCAGAAACACAGCACAACAGCATAGGAACTATATCCCTTATACGCCGCAGCCAGGCGTTCACATGCTGCAACTGGAAAAAAAAAACCCCACATGCCACGGTGAAGACTGAAGTCCCTGCCTGCTGCAATGAGGACCTAGAACAGCCAAAGAAAGAACAATTCTTTTGCAAAAAATGATACAGATAACTCGTGGAGCTGCCACTTACACTTGGTATGACACAGTGTCAGGATTTGTCTTGAGAGGGATTTTGTTTGGCCGAGAGGTTAAGACACAAAATACAGGAGAGTGCCTCCAGAGGCTGGGGAACTGCAGGGAAAACGTGGGCTCACGTCACCATCAGCTGGGTCAGGGTCCGCCTGTAGAAACGGCCACCGACAGGTCTCAAAAGACAGGTAACCTGAAAGCATATTCCAACCAGGGGGACAACGTGACATTCTCTGAGACGACCATGACGTACGCAGGGAAGGAAGTGAATGAGTCTACGAGGGGAATATTGGACTCTTCTATGGAGAGCATCGCACCAAGATGAAACCAACCGTCCAGAGAAAGTCTGGCCTGGGGGCTGAAGACGGGCAGCCGAGGAGGGGACCCTTTGCGGAAGAGCACCGAAGGGCGGGGAGTGCTGGAAAGGACTGGGGGTCACAGCAGAGGAGGGTGGCGGAGGGTGAGATGGTGAGATAGCGTCACCCACTCAACGGACGTGAACTTGAGCAAATTCTGCGAGATAGTGGAGGACAGGGAAGCCTGGCGCGCTGCAGTCCCTGGGGTCGAAAAGACAACAGCCACAACAAACAGAAGTGCCAGGCCAGCTGCTGGGAGGTGGTATGAAATGGATGAGACTTTGATGGGAACCCAACACCATATCTGGGCTTCCACAGTGACTGACAGTAAAGAATCCACCTGCAAATGCAGGCAACCCATGTTCTATCCCTGGGTCGGGAAGATCCCCTGGAGGCGGGCCTGGCAACCCACTCCAGTGTTGCCTGGAGAATCCCATGGACAGAGGAGCCTGGTGGCTACAAGTCCATCGGGTCAAAAAGAGTCGGACACAACTGGGCGACTAAGCACGCATGCAGCTCCATCATCACTTGAGTGTGTGGGTCTTTTCTTTTTTTAATACTTAATTATTTGGCTGCACAAGGTATTAGTTGAGGTACTCAGGATCTTTTCTGGTTTTTTTTTTTTCCCAGTTGTGGTGTGTGGGGTCTAGTTCCCTGACCAGGGATCAAACCTGGGCCCCTGCATTGGGAGCACAGAGTCTTGGCCACTGGCCCACCATGGAAGTCCTGAGTGTGTGAGTTTTACCAGAATCTTGCACATGAGAGAGACAAGAAAGTGGAGATGGCCCAGTGATCTTCTTTTTCCAAGCTTGCTTTTCTGCAAAACACTTTGGGACTGAACATGCAGCTTCTTAATCACCCTGTCTACTCGGAGGTGGAAACTCGGGGGGAGTGTTCCCGGCCAGGGAGCTGTGGACCTGTGTGCCCCTCGTCAGAAGCAGTGCTCAGCTGTCCTCCTGGGGGACCCACCTCCAGATCCTTAACTGCAAAGCCCTCTCTGACAGCAGCCCAAGGAATCATTCCTAGGACTCAAGTCTTGTAAAACAGCCCAGACTCCCTTAAATTCTTCCTTGAGAGGGCCCCTATTACATGCCAACCGCACCCTCTGGCCGGCTTCCTGCTTGGCAGCTGAGAAAGAAAGCAGAACACTGAGCCTCCCAAGCATCATTCTTCACCTCTGACAGGTGATCATGGGGATGCCTTTCCTCCTATTGTCCCATTGTTCACGCTTGCGGAGGACCGCCTCCAAATACAGATGCTGTCAAAGCAGCCAAGAAGACGATGTAAACAAGGGCTTCCTGATGACACTTGTTCAGATGATCTTTTTCCCATGGCTAGTGCTGCCAGATTCCTGAAGGACGTGGTAAGGCCTCCATGTGATGTTGTTTAGTTTAACAGCTGAAGATCATCTTCTTGCCTTTTACAACCCAGGTATCTCCTTGTGGTTTTAATTTGCACATCTTTGATGAGCACTGAGGTTGAATTTTCATATATTTATTGGTCATTTAGGTATCTTCTCTTGTGAAGTGTATTTTTTTTGTCTTTTGCCCATTTTTCTTTTGAACTTTTTCTTATTGATTTGTAAAAGTTCTTTATATATTATGGATCCAATGTCTTTGTCACTTATATGTGCATTAAATAACTTCTCCCCCTCTGTGGTTTGTCTTTTTAATTCTTTTAATGGTATCCTTTGATTAACAGAAATTCCTGATTTTTAACATAGTCCAATATCTATAACTCAAGAAATAATATAGTCCAATATCAACAAACTTAAGAAAAATTTTTAAATATTTTAAACTAAGTCAAAGGAAACACAACATATCAAAATTTATGGAGTGAGGTTAACGTGGTGCTTAAAGGAAGTTTTATGGTACTAACTTCTGGCAATGTTGATTTTATTGGTTTTAGGTTTGTTTCCTATTTACTAATTTTTGCTTTTTTTCTTTCTTTTTACTGTTAGACTTGATTTTCTGATTTCTAAATTATTTAGATTCTTAAACAACTGTTTTTTCAGTCTTTAAAAAGTCTTTAAAATTTTTATAGTGTACGCATAAATTAAAACATTTAAAACCATAAATGTCCTTCTTAGCTTGGCTTTAGCTGCATATCCTAAGTTTTGAAAGGCAGCAATTTAATTGTGGCTTAATGCAAAATATTTTCTAATTTCCACTGTGATTCTTCTTTGACATGGATATTATAAATGTATTGTTTAATTTTCAAACATGGGGACTTGTCTCCTGAATTTTGTTATTTATTTTTAGCTTGATTTCACTGTGTCAGAGAAAATACACTAATATTGGTACTGCAGATTCTCCATATCTTGGTAGCTTTCCAATGTCTTTTTTAAAAAGTTTCTATTTTTAGTCCAGCTTTTCAAGTTGTTCTAAGAACCAAGGATGATCCAAAATAACCTACCCAGTTATTGCCAGAAGCATGATCACCACCCGGGATACATAATTGTGATGGCACCACCATCCATGGGTCAACAAGTAACTCAGAAGGAAAAAACAATCCTCAGAGCCTCCACGGTCAGAGCTGAGCAAGTCCACCTCGGAACTGCGTCTCGTTTTCTCCGAAGCCCGTGTTCTTGCTGTTTCTAACATGACATTTGTTTCACTTATCATGGCTTCCAAGGTCCTCCCTGACAAACTCCACATTTGCCATCTCATCTTATTTCCCCTATATCTAAACTTGGGCTTCCCACCACACTTTCCCAATCCTCTCCCTCTTGTTTGCAAATACCAAAGGCAAGGCGGACGGTGCTCCTTCGCTATAATGTTCTCAGCCTCTCCTCACTTTTCTTTGAAAGGTCTGCCCTTTGATTATTTTTTGTCTAATATGTAAGAAAATAGATTCGTAAGTATTGGAGTAAAAACAAGGGCCGTCTCGGTGCCACTGAACGCTGGGAGTGGGCACATCACACGCTGGAAACGGTGTGATGTGAAAGGGCCTTCGCTGCACTGCGGGGGCCCGCGAATTCGCAGTGAGAATCAGGGATGTTACCAAAAGGATTCACGTATCTCAGAGTGTTACACAACGTGACCTGCACAGTCCTTTACATTTTGAGATACCTCCTTCCCATTTCAAAATCTCCAAAACAGCACAGAGCTCTGGAAACATTCATTTTATTCGGGTATATCTCAAAAATCAAATGTACGCTCTACAGCCCTCCTCCAAAGCTAGAAATTGCAGGTTTCCCTCGAAGATGGGTAGCACTGTTAATCAGAGACATAAGAAATGTGACATTCATATCAGCGGGTTCCACGGGATTGCTCAGATTTGAGTGGGATCCTGGGGCAGGGGCAGTCTGCAGTAATTGTTGGGTTTTCCCAGTGCAAAATGCAAAAGCAAACAGATTTAAAAAAAAAAAAAACTCTCCTTCAGTGAAAATGGAGTTGGTGAAATGTTTTTAGCATGATGGGTTTGTCATTTTTCTGAGACTTATTGGAAGAGGAATGCCCACGGTCTATGGGAACTACAATCTATGGGAACTGTCAATCCCATTAAGAGGTGATGCCGCCACGCAGCCCCTGGGGCACCCAGGCCAAGACCCAACCCCTCTGCCGTAGCCGTGGGTTATTTCGTCTCCCTTTCTCAGTGGGGATGGACATCCGTTGGTCCCTAAGTCTCCCCAGGTGGCACTAGTGGTAAAGTATCCACCTGCCAATGCAGGAGACGTGGCTTCCATCCCTGGGTCGGGAAGATTTCTCTGGAGGAAGAAATGGCAACCCCACTCCAGTATTCTTGCCTGGAAAAATCCCATGGACAGAGGAGCCTGGTGGGCTACAGTCTACGAGGTCACAAGGAGTCAGACACAACTGAGCGACTGAACACAGACACACACACACGTGTGCAAAATAGCCCCCGAGGCAGGCTTCAGAGCCCACGACTGTCAAGCCACTCCTCAACCTCTCCCTCCAGTGATCCTCGTCTCTGGGACCTTCCTCAACAGGCAGCTGTTTGTGAAACTGAACTCTAAGCCAACCCTCGTCTCGGAATCGTCTCTGAGTCTGTCTCACCCTAGAGAAGACAGAAGTGAAATCACTACTGACGCAGCAGGGGACAAAGCCAGGGCCTGTCGCAGCCCAGATTGCTGCACGGGGAGAACGGGGCCGCCTCTGTGTCTTCAGAGAACACTGCTCCTGCTGGAGGGGACGCCTGATGAGGTGCAGCCAGCACAATGCCGTCACACCCGGGGCGGGACACAAACATCCCTGCGTGCGAGACCGGCTCCCTGGGGAGATGCAGCCAGCAGGGCAGGAGGGGCCTTGCCAGCAAAACCAGTTGTAAACAAATCAAGGGAAATAGGAACGATTCTTTGTGTTCACGGAGATTCCCAAGGCTGCAAAAGCTGAGAAGCACCACACACGTCTCATACATCACAGAAGGACCATGCACCAGACACAGACAACAGGCTCCAGCAGGGTGTCTCACGCCACAAGCAGGAAGGAAACACACCAGCGGAGAAGAGGCCACTCCTTCAGCCCCACCGCCTCCTGCAAGTGGGAAGACACCCAGAGCAGACAGGGGCAGACAATCTCTTTAATTATTTAAAGTTATTTACCTTTAAAGCAATCACTTTAATTACTCAAGTTCTGCCTCGGTGTTCTCCTCCTGTGAGGGTTTTTGAGGGGTCCCAGGAGAAAACACTTTCCTGCTTGCCTCCTTCACGGGCCAGTTGAGAAAGAGATCAAGAAAGCGGGCAGGCGGGGCTGCGTCACCGTGAGTAAGCTGACCCTGAGCACGCAGCTTGTATCACTGAGCAATGCATCTCCCAGCACCGAGGCCCGTCACCCAGCTGGGCCACCACAGCCTCCCCTGGCCCGCCCTCCCCCGCCCACCTCCCAGCTCGTGTCCCCTGAAGGCAGGGTGTTTCCGAAAGAGGAAAACAGAGAAGGGCTGTGCCTATCATACGTGTTTGTTCTCTCCAAATTTCCCCTTGGTCAAACCACTCCATCCTCTCTGAGCAGAGGGTGGCATAGCTCAGGGTGTTACGTAACGGACAAACGAACGCTATGTATGCAAATGGAGGTGTGCATCGCATGCCTGGGTATCCATGTGTGTGTCTGAACGTGCAAGTACACAGGTGTGTCTCGAGAAAAAGTGTGCCCCTTTATTGAGTTCTGCAGCCCGGTGGGCACTTGGGCAGACTCATCTCAACAAACATTCCTTGAGCACCTGCAACGACCAAGGACTAGCAACTGTGAAGAGGAGTATCACGTTGCTCTAGATGCAAAAAGCTTACACGCTGGTAGGAAAGATAGATGCGTCAGCAACCATTTGTAGCACAAGATCAAAGATGCTAAACACAGTAACAGCACAAAAAAGAGGAGAGCTGTTCTCCCCTTAGGACAGCAGGGATATTTGAGGTCAGCTGGAGAGAAGATGAGAAGTAATTGGGGGCACCCCAGGAGCTCAGGGCCAGAGGTGGCAACAGAGGGCAGGCTTAAGCCATGAGTCATTTGCTGTGCCAGGGCAGACGTTAACATGAGAGTCACTGCGTCAGATCTGGTCAGGGATAACACCTGGCCTTTTTGTCATAGGGCACACGCTAATGAATGATGCAACCGCAGGGAACTCTGGCTTGTACTAAGAAACATGGGCTTCCTTTTTTAAGGCAAAAGGAAACCATTATGTTCAAGCGGAGAAAGGCAAGGGCAAGAGTGGGGCTGGGAGTTTCGGGTGAAGAGGTGACTGCGCTGACTTCGGGGAGAGAAAACGAGGGCCTAGGCTCGGTGCCAGGAAGGAGGGGTCCCAGAGGTGACACTTACAGACACGCCTGTGAGGGGGCTTGCGGACCTGGGGACTGCCCGCGTGAGGACAGCACCGACTCCCGGAGGAAGGCGCAAGCGCTGAGGAGGATGCGTCGCTGTGTCTGCCCGGATGCTCCTCCGGAGCTCAACGCTGTCGCCCGAAGCCTCCACGAGGCTGACTTTGGGGATCTGGTCCTCTTGCTGGTTAGGCAGCAAAGAATGAAAGGTTTCTCTTGTCACTACGCTTCACAGTGAGAAACTGTTCTCTTTGAGAGGAGGTCAATTCCTTGCTCATTTGGAGCCTTCCGTCTCTAATGAATTCATCTTTCAAGCTCAGGCGAAGCCTCGGTCTGAGCCCTTGGAGGGGGCCCTGAGGGAGCAGGGCTCCTACGTCCAAGGAAGCATGGCTCCTGCGCTGGTTCCCTCTGCTCAGAATCCAGCAAGTCACGTCCAGACACGGCAGGGGGCACGTCCAGGCGTGTATGACCTGAGACAGAGATAAAGGGACCGCTACCCCATCAGCTGTGAAGAGGCACGTTTGTGTCCAAGGAAAAGTCAGGTTCCAGGAATGGACAGGCTGCCTGGTGCCTCTGGTCAGCAGATGAGGCTCTGAGGACTTCCCTGGGGTCCACTGGTGAAGACCCCGCACTCCCAATTCAGGGGGCCCAGGTTCGATCCCTGCTCAGGGAACTAGATCCCACTACCTCTGCTAGAAGACCTCACGTGCCCCAACTATGGCCCTGGAGCAGCCAAATAAATGAATCAGTACTTAAAAACTGATGAGGCCGGGCTGGGGCAGCCGGGAGGCAGAAGAGGGGAAAGCACCCTCCACGTGCCGCGTCAGCCCGGAAGGACAGGGAGGAGGCCTCAGCGCAGGAGTCTGTAGAACCAGGGGCTAAGGCCAGGATGAAGGTGGAAGGGCCAGCACGATAGCAGCTGTGGTGGATTCCAAGAAGGAAGAATGGCCAGCCAGAAATATGGTGGCTGACAGTCCATAGTCGGGGCCTCCCCGGAGCAGGGACCTGAGAACTGAAAGGGGCTAAACAGTCAAAGACCCAACGATGCAAAGGCCAACGGGCTAGTGAGGGCGCGCTGGTCCTAAGGGGTGTGGCACCACCTGGAGAAGCCTGTTAGCAGGCACTGAGTTCACTGGCCTGTGGAGGACAAAGTGGCTGGGAAGTAAGCTGTAAGCTCCCAGAAGGCAGAGAGCAGAGGTGAGGGCTTCATCTGTAAGCAAGTGACCAACTGCTTACATAACCCTTGCAAGAGGACAGCCTCTTAATTGCCATTCCATACTCTTGCAAAGGCTTTGATTTCTTTAGTTTCTCTCTTCTTCTCCCCCGGCAGTGGTGACTGCTTCAGCAGACTGAAGCTGCTGCTGTTTCAGCATCATTGCTGAGAAGGGCATCAGAGCATCTCGATGTCGGGCTGAGCTCACTCAACCAGATTAATTCCTTAGATGTTCAGCAGGATTTCAAGGAAAGTCACCTTTCGGTCGGAACAAAAGGCAGATAACTCACTTTATCCATGAGTCTCTTATCTTGTTGACAAACTCCAACTCGCATCCATTCCAGTTTTCACGGCAATTCGAGAAATTGCTAGAAGAAATGTGGACTTGGGAAAGACACAGCTTGCTCTTGTTATCATGTGCAGTCCCCGTCGTCCTAGCAGTTTCTGAGTCAGTTAGGAGGGGATTACAGAAACAGAGTGATTACTGTGTCCCCTAAGCCTCTCACTGGTTTTAAAGACATAGCTGGTTTCTACTTTATTTATGGAAACTTTAAGAATTATCTCCAAAGGCCAAGAGTCCAAGAAGACATGCAGGCTCTTAGAGTTTGACAGGACATCTAGGGGTCACCTAACCCACTCCTGTGTCAGGGGGGTGAGCTGAACTCAGAGAATGACCCTGGCCTAAGGTCCAATGAATTGAAATGTCAGCAATTGGACCTGAGTTTCCCATGTTCCAAATAACATGACTTCTCGTTGACAGAAATACTTGCAGTGGGTCCAAATATTAAAAAAATGAATGCAAAAGAAGAGATGAAAAATGTAATAACAAATAATCAAAACCAAAATAAAAAAGGAAAAATAAGGAGAAAAGTCTGAAACAAAAAAAGGCACTTGCTGCCTAGACCAGCTAATTGTTCCACTGAACACATTTGTGCATCCATAACACAAAGCACTCTCAAGTTGTCTATACAGGTGGATCTCAAAAGGTACTTTATGTTCCTTTATTCTCTGCAAAAATAACAAAGTTATAATCTTTTTCTGAGCAAGTAAGGACCTTCCTTGGCATCCATCCTTTGAAAACTCAGTATTTAAGTTTCACCCTTCACCTCTCTCAGTTTTTCTCCCAAGAACAAAGAAAAATTATAAAGCATTGTGCTGACAATGGAAATGTAACCCCCTTTAAAAAAAAAAAAGTCCTGTTTTTTTTTTCGTTGTTGTTGCTAGAGTAGAAGACTGCGTGTGCCATAAAACTCTGTCCCATCTGGCTGGTTTTTCAAACTTCTCTGGGACTCTTGTTTTTACAGTTGAGCAATTAATTCTCTCTAACAGGAGCTGCTGAAATAAAGATTTCAGAGAGAGCAGTTCATGACCTTATGCCTTTGTGAATTGTACTGAACACTGAACTTCCTGCATCACTGGGAGAGAAAAATCTATTAAAATCTCTTGGGTGAATACCTCAACAGCCTGATTTCATTTTGAAGCTAATCATTTGTTATAGTTTAGAAGGCATGATGAATGATGTCACTTCAAATATTAATACTGTTATAACCCTGGATGACATACTTTTTCCTCAGATTCAGAGCTTTTTTTAAACAACATTTCAACAATTCCATAAAGCTTCTCCTATATCATTTGAAGTCTGGTGAAACACAGGAAAACAAAAAACCCATTGTTTGACATCATTGAAAAAGTATCAAAAACTTAACTATCTATAAACCTAACCCCCCCCCCCCAAATCACATGAAGTTCTGGAAAAAAATTAAAACTCTAACAAATGATATCAAAGACCACCTAAATAAACTAACATATGTACCGTATTTATGGGTAGGCCAACTTGGCACAGAATAGATGATAATTTCCCCTAAACTAATCTCTAAGTTAATACAATTTAAGCCAAAATCTCAAGGAGACTTTTTCCAGTGTCACTGAGGTACGGTTGACACATAACAGTATCTTAGCTTAAGGTGTGTGGTGTGATGACTTGACCCACCTGAGTGTGATCATGCAATGAACGGCGCCTGAGATTGGTGAGCCACTCTTCACCTGACACGGCTGCTCTTTTCTTGTTGTTTTGGTGAGAACACTAAAGGTCTACTCTCATAGCAACTCTGGGGTGTACAACACAGTTTCGTTGACTCTAGTCACTACGTTGTGCCTTAGAACCCTTGAACTTGATGAGTTCAAGACGATTCTTCAACTGAAAAGGTTAATTCTAAATTTTATAAACAAAAGTAAAAGTCCACAAATAGCCAAGGGAGTTCTGAGAACAAAAGTCAGAGAAGCACCAGCTCTATCAGACACTAACCCGGACTACAGAACATAAGCACAGGAGAGGCAGAACAGAAACAGAGTGCTTTGAAGTAGAACAACATACACATGAGGAATCAGTATATGATAGAGCTGCCAGGATAGACCAGAGGGAAAAATGAGAGATTACATAATAACTGATCTTGGAAAAATGTGGTTCACTCTGTGGAAAAAACTGATTTAAATTAAAACTTTTACATCTAAATTTATTTTAATAATTACATAATATAATATATAATAACATCATTTATTAAGTGTAACAAATATAAATTACAAATGAAATACTTTATATTTTAAATAACTATTTAAAGATGAAAAAAATCAATACAAAAAAAGAAATTCCAAATAGAAATTCCAAGACCATAAAACTCCTAATAGGAAACACAGGAGACTATCTGTATAAGCCTGGAGGAGTGAGAAGAGTGGGAAGAACAACAGGTGAGCACAGAGGATTTTCAGGGCCGTGAAACTACTCTCCTCGATACTCCAACAAAGGATACGTGTCATCGGACATTGGTCCAGACCCACAGAACAAACACCACCAAGAATGAAACTGCCTGGACTCTGGGCAGTATGCTCTGTCCACAGACTGTAACATTTTTGAGGGGGTTGTGGATGGGGATACTGCGCATGTTGAGGGCTGGGTGTGAAAAAGTGTGAAAGGGCTGGGTGCAAATTGGCATCTCTGTACCTTCTGCTCAATTCTGCTGTGAACCTAAACCTGCTCTAAAAAATAAAGTGCATTAAGACAGACAAACGTTCCACAGCTCCTCCCTCCAGGACAGAGGCGGACTCTTTTTCTCACTCTTTGACTCTGGGCTTTGTTGAGGGTCCTGCTTTGGTCCACAGGGTCCTCGCGATGTGAAGAAGCAGAGGCTTGTCCACCCCATGGGCTTGTCCACCCCAGGGCTTGTCCTCCCCACTGCCGGAACCCACGAGATCCCCGTGTGGAGAGGCCTGGGCTAGCCTCTGGGAGGGTGAGCGGCCCGGCCCTCCCAGCCGAGGTCCCCGTGACCTGAGACCACCCTCGACCACCCAGTCCCAGGAGGCAGTCCCGGACCAGAGGGCCACCCTGCCAGGCCACTGCAGGGCAACACTGCTGGCTTACGCCATTATGCTTTGCGGTGCTTTGTTACATGTCAAAAGGTAGCTGATTCAAGCAGAGACCCCAAAAGTACAAACTTCAAAGGAAAAAAATACTGACGAATTTAATGACATCAAAAGTAAAACTTTCTCTCCAAAATAAGACACCCTTGACAAGAGTAACAGATAAGAAATGTGTTGGAAGAAGATATTTTTCAAAACTAGGACAAAGGATTAAAATCAGAACATCCAAGGAACTCTCGTAAATTAGCAAGAAAAAAAAACAGAAATATTGGCAAAAATATGAAAAAAGAATTCACAGAAGAACGCAGAATGGCCAATAAATAGATAAGGAGACTCTCAAATTAGTAATCAGAGAAATGCAGGCTATGTTAAACATGAGATACTACATGGAGGTTTCTTAAAATAGAACTACCATATGACCCAACAATTCTACTGGGTATCTATCCAGAAAAAACAGAAACACTAATTCAAAAAGATAGATGAACCCAATGTTCATAGCAGCATTATTTGCAATAGCCAAGATATGGGAACAACCTATATCAACAGATAAATGGATA